GTTTGTGATGTTTTAAAAAATTTTACCGAATATTGTTTTTTGTAAAAAAAATCATCCTTAAAGATTAGGGAAAAAAGTAGGGAATTTTCGTAAGACTTAATTTTTTGTTTATAAGACTGGAACAAATTAAGAGTATTTTAGTGTTGCGATGTAATAAAAACTGAAATTTTTTCTAAATAGTCTTTGGCTGACGAAATTTAATATATTAGTTCTTACAGTTTATATAATTAAATATTTTAGAATCTCAAATTACTTAAGATACATTTGTGAATTCGTCATTTAATGAAAATCGTTTTGCACTATAAATGATTAACTATTGAAGCATCATTTTCTTATCCTCTGAAGAAGCAAAAAACTCATTTCTTATTTGAATATGTCATTCGCAATATACAATATTAAAAGTTTATTACCATTAGTGTATGTACTGTATATTATTTAGTTTTATGGTAAAATAATTTCAAGGCAATCTCAATATTATGAAATTAATACATACAAAGCATTTTGTGAAAATCCAAGTTCATTGAGAAATTCGTATCTTGCATTAAGAATAAAGTATTTTGTAAGTGTTACTTGGTATCTATGAGTAAACAGCTTGTATGATAGGTTTTTCATATCTTGAAAATACTTTATTATTTTTGTAAGTTAGTACAAGTAATACTATGATCTGTGACATCTTGAAAAATGTCACCTAAGCGATTTCTCAACTGTTTTATTGGTATGTATGGTGTATTTACCTTTTCAGATACTGTTGGTCGTCTATTTTTTAAAATTTATTTATGCATCAATACAAGACATTATGATTTATGTGTATGCCAGTGTCCAATATTTTATTGCCTGTAGAGTTACATAATACCTTTTTCCAGAAAATGTCTGTAAGTATCAAATTGCTATCATATTTTTACACCGGGAGTATTTCGCAAGAACAATTTTTTTTTTTTATTTTTATTTTTACGAACGTAGGCTACCAGTTAACTGCATTGTTCGCCATCTTATTTTCACCCTAAAATCTGGCATTGGCAAAATTGAATCGTCGGTTAATCGAATGTCAAAAAAAATTATGCGCTTTATATTTAAGCTTCATTGCTTGTAATAGTCGAGTTGTAAGTGCAAAAATTTGATCTATACTGAAAAAACATTAAAATTAATCTCTTATCTGTGTCAGTCTGTCACCTAACCTCCAATGCATGGCAGATACTCCTAATGTGTTAAGCGATAGTATCTTATGCATTCAAGATTTGACACTTGATAAATATTAATAAAGAAAATTTTCGATTTTTTTTCAGTGAATTTTTCATAAATTGTTTCATGGTGAGCACATTCTGACGTTGAAATCTACATTTGATCTTTGAACAAAATAGAATCAGTCATGCTTTGGGACGGGTCGTAGCACTCAATTAGCTCTTGTTGGTATGGTTGATGAGATTCGAGCACATGCTTTTTTAGTTTTAATTGATATGGTCAGGGTATTTGATTCTGTCAATATCAATGTTCTTTGCGAAAAGCTTGTTACACTTGGACTCTCTGACTTAGCCTGTTCATGGGTACGATCTTACTTAACTGATAGATATCACATAGTAGTAGATGGAAACCAAACTTCATGCCCATTATAAAGAACAAGTGGTGCCCTTCAAGGCTCTGTTCTAGGGCCATTATTATTCTCTTCGTTTATTAATAACCTACCTGACATTAGCTATTGGCTTCACCAGTTATACGCACATGATTCTTACTTTTACGTGCATGGTCCTATTTTTAATAATATATTACTCTAGTAATACTTTATTTAATACTGCTTTTTCTCCAAACAAGAATACAGATTTTGCGCATAACCCTGCAGTAAACCAAGACTTTTAGTAGAAATTCGTTTCTAATTTTACTGTAACCTCTGTAAAGTACACAACGCCTGAGCCATTATTTTTAACGACTTCATCTAAAAATTGATTTAAAGATGTAAACATTCTTTGCCGAAAGCTGTCTTAACTTCGATGGCAAAAATGTAAGCCTGAGGTACGGCTACTTAATCGCCGGCATAACTTAAAATATTTAAAGTTTTTTTTTNTTAAAGATGTAAACATTCTTTGCCGAAAGCTGTCTTAACTTCGATGGCAAAAATGTAAGCCTGAGGTACGGCTACTTAATCGCCGGCATAACTTAAAATATTTAAAGTTTTTTTTTTATCTAGGATTTGTTTCCAAGCCTTGTATCTTAAATAACCTGGGTGAAGGTATACCTCCTATATAAGGTTGGGGAGTCTGGGGGCAAAGGGCTTCAGATAGATATAGTATCAATACTCCTTACAAGGAAAAAGGCTGCTCATAAAAATTATTTAAGTAATTAATGGTTAGGAAACTACAATAAAATGAAAAAAATACTATGCAAAAAAATTATAAAAAGCGTATAAATATTATTCGATATCATTAAAAGTTAAGATCTTATAAACTATCCCTAAATTCTTAAAAATCATACTTACTTCTCAAACTGTGTTTTCATGAATTTCTTATGTATGTTATAATATTAAAGGTTAACATGACATCCACTTTTGGAGCTGCAACATCTACAAATCCACGACCATTCAAATGCACTGATTGTAAATCAGCTTTTCGTATACACGGTCATCTAGCGAAACATTTACGTAGTAAAATGCATATTATGAAACTAGAATGCTTACGTAAACTACCGTTTGGAACATATGCCGAAATGGAAAGGTCAAGTGTAAGTTTGAATGACATCGATACCAGTGACTGTAATACTAGCCTTATTAGTCTTCAAGTAAGTTCATATTCATTTTCAATTTTATAAAAATGATAGTAGAAAATATTTATTCATGAAATTTTTATCAGTCGATTGCCAAAAAACTATGCCAGCAGAATCCTTCTCAGTTAGTTTCATTTGAGGCAGAAACAATAATTAATGAAGGAAATAGTACCGCTGATAGCTCATCTGATGATGAAAGAGATTTTTCGATTACAAAGCCACAGAGTGTTGAAGATAAAAACTATCGAGAATAAAAAATTACTCTTCGTAATGAAGACAATGTTAATTCAGTTTTAATGAAGATAGATGATGTTAGTGATCATCTAATGTACAAATGTCAAGTGTGTTCCTCGGTTTTAAAAAAAAAAAGTGATTCGCAAATGCATTGCTTGTGCAACCATAAAACTTCAAAAAGTGTTTTTTCAGAGCCGCGCGATAAAAAAAAGAGAAAAGAAAATACTCACACACTGATAAATGATAGACACACCTTGAATAGAAAAAATGAACAAAATGTGAATACTACGTAGTGCCAAATATACTCATAAGTAAACTCACTAATGTCATGAATTTGCAATACACTTATGTAAAAAATTTATTAACATTCTATTTTTAATCGTTTGTTTTTATTAAAAAATTTTATTTTTGACATATAAGACTATTCGCCTTCATAGTCATTAGCACCGTTGCAAAGGTCTGTCCTTCAGCCATCTTCACTACTACTGTTGTTGTGGTATATATATATATATATAGTCAAAAGAGAGACCGGACAAGGCATGATTAATATACCGCTGAAAGGTTTGACAAGCATTGCGTAAACCAAATAGTATGCCAGTATACTTAAATAACCCGAATGGTGTGATATCCGCCGTTTTCGGAACATCCTCCAGGGCAACCGGAATCTAATGATAGACACGATTGAAGTTCAGGGTGAAAAAATAGTACACCCGTGCAAAGCCATAGAAAAATTATGGAGGTGCTGCAAAAAGTATCTGTTGGGCTAACGCCATTTAATCGGTGATAGTCCCCGCACACACGCCAAGATTCGTCTTTCTTTTTAGTAAGACGTAACGGGCTGGCTCATGGGCTGCTAGAATGTCTTCAGTGAACCTTTTGAACTAATCGCTTAAGCTCTCCCTTCGTGGCATTATATTAATCAGTATTAAGTTGCCAGATGTGTTCGGAAGCAGGAGGTCTACTGGTAATAATATGATAAAATACCTAGGAATTATCAATATATTCAGGTCACGCAAGATCAGTAATCTTGGGAAAATCCGATTAAATTTTACCTGGGCCATCACATATCTAACACTCGAAAAGTAGGGACTCTTAACAAAACCATAAATACAAGTGCGAGTTGGAGGATTAATCAACCTAAGGTTATACAAATTGATCAACATATGGTAATGGTTTAGAAAATATGCGCCAATTATAGGGTATGGAACGGCTGCAAAGACAAAATTCTATGTAAACGGTTCCTCTAATTTGAAGCTTACTACTATCGTGATTTTACCGAAAAGTTTGATTGGTATGTCGTTAGCAGCGAACAGATTTAGGTGAAGGCATGTAATTATTAACGAACTTTTCGAGAATAAGAGAAACTTCGGAACTACTATCGATCAAAAACCTCAACCCGGATAGCACATCTACCACGTGGAGCCTTTTAGAGTTCGTCAACTCTCCTACTGCTCCGATATAGGAGAAATTTTCTGGTTTTCCGAACGTTACGACCACGAGTAAGCTCTCACACAACGATGAGCTGTCGACCTATATCTACGGTGATAATTTACCATTCTCCGAGTCGCTCGACGCGGAACGGACTACTGCAGAAACGGACTATATCTGTAGGGAGTGACGGGCCCCTGTAATTTTGCAATTAATCACGGTTTCCAGAATAACTCTCGCGGCCTTAGGCAATAGTTGGTGAGCGCATGTACACTACTGCTCTCCGTCCTTCCCCAACCATCCGCTAGGTGTCTCACCATTCAAGTTAACCTTCTTGCTAGTGTCCGGTTCTCATGTTGGTTAATATATAAGGGCGTTTAAGATGAGCTAGGGTATCCCCACCGATATAGGTGTCTAAGGCAGGGAGAACGTCATCAGCCTTACTGATGAGTCCTGGCATGCTCATGGGACGAAACATCAAACAATCTTTTCTCTCTGATCATGGTATCACTTAATCGCTATACTCCGGCATAGGTGGTGCCATCTGAGGGTAAATACCTCCATGTAAAGCATGATGGGTGAGCCAGTCTGGATCAGGCATGTAATGATTTTATAAGTGAGTTTTTAGGTTAAATAATTCGATGTTTTTGGTACATTTAACTTGTAAGCGATTATCAACTGAAAACTTTTTGTTTCTATTTTTTATATGATATATCTGAGTATCACATCTATTATCATTTTTTCTATTCTGGATAACAATTTTTTTTTAAATAGTACATGTNTTAAGAGTATTTTAGTGTTGCGATGTAATAAAAACTGAAATTTTTTCTAAATAGTCTTTGGCTGACGAAATTTAATATATTAGTTCTTACAGTTTATATAATTAAATATTTTAGAATCTCAAATTACTTAAGATACATTTGTGAATTCGTCATTTAATGAAAATCGTTTTGCACTATAAATGATTAACTATTGAAGCATCATTTTCTTATCCTCTGAAGAAGCAAAAAACTCATTTCTTATTTGAATATGTCATTCGCAATATACAATATTAAAAGTTTATTACCATTAGTGTATGTACTGTATATTATTTAGTTTTATGGTAAAATAATTTCAAGGCAATCTCAATATTATGAAATTAATACATACAAAGCATTTTGTGAAAATCCAAGTTCATTGAGAAATTCGTATCTTGCATTAAGAATAAAGTATTTTGTAAGTGTTACTTGGTATCTATGAGTAAACAGCTTGTATGATAGGTTTTTCATATCTTGAAAATACTTTATTATTTTTGTAAGTTAGTACAAGTAATACTATGATCTGTGACATCTTGAAAAATGTCACCTAAGCGATTTCTCAACTGTTTTATTGGTATGTATGGTGTATTTACCTTTTCAGATACTGTTGGTCGTCTATTTTTTAAAATTTATTTATGCATCAATACAAGACATTATGATTTATGTGTATGCCAGTGTCCAATATTTTATTGCCTGTAGAGTTACATAATACCTTTTTCCAGAAAATGTCTGTAAGTATCAAATTGCTATCATATTTTTACACCGGGAGTATTTCGCAAGAACAATTTTTTTTTTTTATTTTTATTTTTACGAACGTAGGCTACCAGTTAACTGCATTGTTCGCCATCTTATTTTCACCCTAAAATCTGGCATTGGCAAAATTGAATCGTCGGTTAATCGAATGTCAAAAAAAATTATGCGCTTTATATTTAAGCTTCATTGCTTGTAATAGTCGAGTTGTAAGTGCAAAAATTTGATCTATACTGAAAAAACATTAAAATTAATCTCTTATCTGTGTCAGTCTGTCACCTAACCTCCAATGCATGGCAGATACTCCTAATGTGTTAAGCGATAGTATCTTATGCATTCAAGATTTGACACTTGATAAATATTAATAAAGAAAATTTTCGATTTTTTTTCAGTGAATTTTTCATAAATTGTTTCATGGTGAGCACATTCTGACGTTGAAATCTACATTTGATCTTTGAACAAAATAGAATCATAAATAAAATTAATCTAACATCCACGTGAAGAACGCAATGCTGATAATTAAAATCAGCGTTAAATCAGTAAAAAGAAAAAATGGAGTTTATTTGGATCTAATGTGGAAAGTATCAGAATATTATTGGACAGGCAAAAGTACCCATGATATTCGTATTTAAAAATGCTTGGAATTTTTTTGTTTTTTGTTTAACAGTTGCGAAATTATCTATTTCTTAGGATGCGTACATATGCATTACGTATAGTATATGTAATAATGAACTAATACTTTTTATTTTATTATCGTGACCCATCCATTACAAGATTGCCAAGGCAACTCGATTTTTTCAGTTACAACTACGATTTGTAAAAAAATTGTCATACGTAGCAATTGAAAAAAAGTGCCACTTTGACCAGGATTTGAACCTGGAACTCTTTTTTTGCCAGGAAAGTGCGTTACCAGTTTCGCCATCGAGGTCTCAGTGACTTCTCTTCTCAATTGCTACATTTTTATATTTTCGGCGATTTTTCAGTCCGTGCCTTGCTCATATGGTATACAAATATATTAGAAAGAAAGCTGTCTTAACTTCGATGGCAAAAATGTAAGCCTGAGGTACGGCTACTTAATCGCCGGCATAACTTAAAATATTTAAAGTTTTTTTTTTATCTAGGATTTGTTTCCAAGCCTTGTATCTTAAATAACCTGGGTGAAGGTATACCTCCTATATAAGGTNAAACCCCCCCCATGCCGCGTGGCTTTTGATGCACCCTGGAACCGCGTTAGCATTACTTCAGGGTGGAGCCACCAGGAAGACCATCGCGTCTCACAGCATTAACGAGCTAACTTGCCACCAGTTGCTAGAGGTACTGATGCTCTGGTGTCCTGAAAAGGACTCGGAGTCCCTGAGGACCAGCACCTTGTCTAGCGCTTCATAGTAGGCTGCCTACTCAGCCAGCACCACTATAAGCTTAATGCTTTCCCTTAGTGATAGGTAAAAAGTACCCAGCGCAGCGTAGGTCCACATAAGCCTGTCTTTCAACTCAAGGCCTTTTTGCCTTATTTTAATCCTGCTTGGGCCTTATCCCTGGCCTCTTTAAGGGCTCTTCTGAATAAAGGGCAGCTCCCGCTGCCTGCTGAGTGATTATTGTTCGTTGTTGGGCAAAGGAAGCACCGTGCTGGGCCTGGACACTCTTTCTTCCGGTGGTTTGAGCTTCCACACCGGAAGCAAAGCTTGGATCTGTTTTCGTTCTCACAGTTGCCTGAGACGTGTCCATATCCCAGGCATTTGTAACATCTTGTTACTTCAATTCTTCTTCGAATTCGGCAGCTTACAAAGCCAACTTGTAACCTGCCTTCCTTTTCTACTTGTCTGGCAGATGCTTCGTCCACCTTTATTAAAGCCAGCCTCTGTTTTCTGGCGTTTGTCTTTAAGAGAGCAACTTCTGGCTCCTGGCTCTGATGTCCAAAAGTCCTAGCGAAAGCCTCTTTGACCTCATCTTCCTCTACAATGGCATCCAGGTCTCGGACCTCTAATGCCACTTTTCTGTCGCTCATTTTGACATTACCCTGTCCGGCTACCGACTTTTCAATTTGCTGTGAGAATGCAGTAGCATTCTCTAGTCCTTTGGCCTTAATAAGTATGTCACCTTTTTTTGTAGTGACAACACTTTGGACTGCCACTTTAGCCTTATCGAGGTCAAAGTTCGCCTTCATAGTCATTAGCACCGTTGCAAAGGTCTGTCCTTCAGCCATCTTCACTACTACTGTTGTTGTGGCGTCCACTCTTTTCTTCCCGCTTGTTTTGTCATTCAGTGGAATTTCTTCTTGTTTGCCACTGCCTGTTTTCTTTTTCTTTGAAGACATAGCCTGCTGGCGTTTTTCAGGGCTGTCCGATGGGCTCCTGTTTCTTTTACTTCGTTCTATTTCCTCTCAGGCAGTGTTCAGGGTTCGTTTCTGTACATGCCGTCGGAAATTATCTCGCCTTTTTTCCC